GGTGCGGGGCGCGGTCCACTAGGGCCTGAGCGCCGGGGCCCCCCCAGCCGAGAAGATGCTGAGATGCCGGGAGCACATCTATGATGAGCCTGAGGGGCGGGCTTCAGAGCCAGGGCCCGACAGCGCCTCCATCTACGACGAGGCCCGGCTGACAGGCGAGGCCTGGCGCACGCAGGGCATGGACCACAAGGGCGGGTATGAGTACCCCTACAATCCCAGCACTGACGACTACTCGGTGCCTGCCTTCCAGCCCAGAGCAGGTCCCAAGGGCCCCAAGCCTGTCCCTGCCCCCAAGCCCCAGGCCATGTTCATTCCCAAAGCTGCAGAGAGGAGCGTGGAGCCCAGCAAATGGCGAGTGAACCTGGCTCCCGACAAAGCCGGCGTCCGATCTGGCTTCAACAGCAACAACAACAACAACGAGGTGCTGTACAGCCAGGTGCAGAAGCCTCCCTGGGCACCAGGGCAGGAGCTGTCTGTGGACGAGAGCGCTCGGTCGCCCATCTACGAAGACCTGGGAGAGATCTAACCTCCTGTGCCAAAGCCCCTCCACTGCACCGTCCCCTGCGAGGGGCCATGTCCTCCCTCGGAGATGGGGGTACCCTGGAGGCGCCATGGCTGGAGCCGGGGAGAGATGTGACTGGTACCTGTGTGCTGGGATTGGCTCCCCTACCAGGCCAGGGGAGGTCAGGGTGGTCATTACGTGCTATCCAGGCATGGTGACTGGGATGGCGCAATCCCTGGGCACTTTTTGCTGCTGAACTGCTCCTCAGCTCCCTTCAGACTGTCTCCAGCCCAGCCCCAGACAGGCCGTGCACCCTGGCACCCTCCCCAAATATTTTTCTACAATTTTTATTTTGATATTAAAATCGTACATTTTAAAAGTGTGCGTGGTGTTGGAGTGGGCGCCGTGCCACACGCCTGTTCTTAGGGGTGGTGAGAGGTGCTATGCCAGGCTCCCCGAGGCGCTGAGCCCCTGGGCACAGGAAAGAGGCCGGGTTTACACAGGGCTACTGAGAATCGCGCATGTGCAGCTCCATGAGTCATTACAGCAACAGCTGCTCTGAGAAGAGCAAATCTTGGCTTCCCCTTCACAAAAGGCCCCGGAGGCTCCTGCGAGCCAGAGCAACTGGACTGTAGTTGGGAGGGTGGTGGAGATGGTTCCTAAAGAGAATCATCATGCCGGAATTTAGACTTTCGGAAGGCCCTTGGCAAAGCCGGGGGGGAGGGGGGAGAAGGGGGCAACGCTGGCCCTGGAGCAGACGGCTCCGCCAGAGCAGGGACAGATGGTCAGTTCCCAGCAGAGCAGAGGGTTCATGGTGGGGCCCCAGGGTGCAGACGGGGGTGTTGGATGTTTATTAACGAGCTGGAAAAGGAGCGTGTGAAGCTCAGGGGACGCACAGGTGCTGAGGGGAGCTGGTCAGAATTCCAGGGGGCTAGCCCTGCAAGGAGAAAAGGCAGCATGCCGGCAGGCCCAGCTGGGATTCAGGGTGGATTAATGCCAAGCAATGTGCAGTGGACGGTTTAATCTGAACTCAGCACGTGCCACCCCAGGGTCTAGACTAACAGCGTCTGTTCAGGATCCGGAGCCAGCGTTGCTGGGCAACTCAGCGGATGCCAAGAAAGCTGATGGGCTGGAGACCAGTTCAGGCTGGGTCTTGCTCTGTGTGCCAGTGCAGCATGTTCTTTGGTGGGGCTGGTGAGATGGGGTGGGGGAAGCCCTGGGCTCTGCTGAGCGAAGGAGACAGCTGGCCCTTTCTAGCAGGGACCTGTGGTACCTTGGCCAGGTCCCACAACTGCTACGGGAGAATGATACACAGCTGGGGGGTGGGGAAGTGGTAAATAATGGAGCAGGTGGGTCACTGGGACAGAGCAAGCTGGCTCGCTTGGCAAGCTGGGCACAAGCAAATGCTGGGTGTTAATATGGCTTAAGGTAAACGTGTACCTATGGGAACAAAGGATGCAGGCCGTACATACCGGAGGGGGGACTGTCCTGGGAAACAGTGTTTGGAAAAAGATTTGTGGTCATGAGGGATAATCAGCTGACCATGAGCTCCCAGTGTGGCGCTATGGCCAAAAGAGCCAATATGATCCTGGGAAGGGTGAACTGGGTACTTTAGCTCTGTGTTTGGCATTGATGTGACGGTGCTGCTATCACAGAATACTAGAACTTAGGGATGCCCTACCAGGGATAAGAACAGCCAGACTGGGTCAGACGAAAGGTCCATCCAGCCCAGTGTCCTGTCTGCTGACAGTGGCCAGCACCAGGTGCCCCAGAGAGAGTGAACAGAACAAGTAATCATCATGTGATTCCTCTGCTGTCATCCATTACCAGACCAACAGGGTCTGGGGACACCATTCCTACCCATCCTGGCTAATAGCCATTGATTAACCTAACCTCCATGATTCTATCTAGCTCTTTCTTGAACCCTGTTTAAGGCCTAGTCTTCACCACATCCTCTGGCAAGGAGTTCCACAGGTTGACTGCTGCATGAAGAAAAACTTCCTTTTGTTTGTTTTAAACCTGCTACCTATTAATTTCATTTGGTGACCCCCTAGTTCTTATATTATGGGAACAAGTAAATAACTTTTCCTTATTTACTTTTTCCACACCAATCATGATTTTATAGACCTCTATCATATCGCCTCTTAGTCTCCTCTTTTGTAAGCTGAAAAGTCCAAGTCTTTTTAATCTCTCTTCTTATGGGACCTGTTCCAAACCCCTCATCATTTTTGTTGCCCTTTTCTGAACCTTTTCCAATGCCAATATATCTTTTTTGAGATGAGATGACCACATCCGTACGCAGTATGCAAGATGTGACCGTACCATGGTTTCCTACAGAGGCAATAAGATATTTTCTGCCTTATTCTCCATCCCTTTTTAAATGATTCCTAATATTCTTTTTGCTTTTTTGACTGCTGCTGCACACTGAGGCTGCGTCTAGACTGGCAGGATTTTGCACAAAATCTTGCCACCTGTCTACACTGGCCGCGAGTATTTGCGCAAGAACACTGACTTTGTACTGTACAAAATCAGTGGTTCTTGTGCAAATACTGATAAGTCCTCTTCCGCAAGTCCTCTTGTGCAAGAGGCCAGTGTAGACAGGTAACATCAATTTCTTGCGCAAGTGAGCATCTACACTGGCACGGATGCTTTTCTGCAAAAGTAATGCTTTTGCACAAAGGCACATGCCAGATGACTAAGGGAGGGATATGATCAAGGTCTTTAAAATCCTGAATGGCCCGGAAGAAATTGAATAAAGAACTACTATTTACCCTTTCACACAATTACAAAAACCAGGGGTCAGCCGATGAAATTAATAAGCAGTAGGTTTAATACAAATGGAAATGCTTTTTCACACAATACAGATAATTGGGATTATTTTTCCAATATGTATTACTTTACATTTGTGAACATTAAATTTCATTTGCCATTTTGTTGCCCAGTCACTTAGTCTGGTGAGATCTTTTTGAAGCTCTTCACAATCTGCTTTGGTCGTAACTATCTTGAGCAGTTGAGGTTATCAGATCCAGTCCCCTGCACTCACGGCAGGACAAAGCACCATCTAGATCAGTAGTGTACAACCTTTTTCTCAGTGCAACCTCCCAGGAAAATTTTGGTTGAGCCCCCGCCCCCAAAAAGGCGTGGCCTCTTTTAATAAATGCTGCTTCACTCGCCTACTGCTCCCGCCACGTGTACTTCGGGTGCCGAGCTGGGAAAAGAAAATACCGGCCGGCCTGAATCACAGTGCTGCAACCCTCCCTGAAGACAGCCGCAACCCATGGGTTGCACACAGCTGATCTAGATCATCCCTGACAGGTCTTTTTCTAACCTGCTCTTGAATATCTCCAGAGATGGAGATTCCACAACCTCCCTCCGCAATTTATTCCAGTGCTTAACCACCCTGACAGGAAGTTTTTCCTAATGTCCAACCTAAACCTCCCTTGCTGCAGTTTAAGTCCTTTGCTGCTTGTCCTATCCTCAGAGACCAAGTAGAACAATTTTTCCCCTCCTCCTTGTAACACCCTTTTAGATACTTGAAAACGGCTCTTATGTCCCCTCTGTCTTCTCCTTTCCAAACTAAACAAGCCCAATTCTTTCTGTCTTCTCTCAGAGCTCATGTTCTCTAGCCCTTTCATCATTTTTATTGCTCTTCTCTGGACCCTCTCCAGTTTCTCCCTATCTTTCTGTTCAATATTGTGTCTAGTGCTGCTGTGCCCAGTTCAAAAGCCTGTTGATAAATTGGAGCGGGTTTAGAGAAGAGCCAAAGGAATATTAAAGGGTTAGAAAACCTGCCTTAGGGCGAGATATTGCAGGAGCACAGTCTATTTAACCTTACAAGTAGCAAGTGAAGAGATGGCTTTATCAGTCTAGAAGTACCAGCATGAGGATCAAATATTTCATAATGGACTCTTCTGTCTAGCCAGATATGGATCATGCAATCCAACGTCTGGAAGTTGAGGTTAGACGCAATGAGGTGTGCATTTTGCAGTGAGGGTATTTAACCACGGGAACAATTTACCAAGGGTGGGTTCTCCATCACTAACAATTGTTACATGGAGATGGACTCGTTTTCTGAAAGGTCTGCGCTAGGCAGGACCCTGGTGTGCTCTGCAGAAAGCCAGACTGGATGATTGCAGTGGTCTCTTGACTCGAGAGCCAGTGGCTGGAGTGTTCCAGGTCTCCGAGCTCACTGGGCGTGACATTGGTTTATGTGGTGGTAAGAGCCGTTGTGGTATCTTTGCACTCGGGAGAGCTCCTCTGCGCGGAGAAGCAGGGTCCAGCGGTGCATGTCAGTTCTCTGGTTTACTTTCTTCTATTTAAAGCTACTTCGCTACCTAAATTAAGATATGGCAGGAAGTGGCGTCTGTCTCTTCCCCTTCAACTAATTTCTGCTCTGTCTGTGGGAGCAATAACCTGTTCCAAAGGTGCCAGAGAAGTGAGCCAGCCCTCTGAAACGTGCTCTCTGGTACAGATGTTCCTGGGCCCAGCAGGCATCACACTGAACATCTGAGCTGGGTGCTTTGCACAGACACTGTCCCTGCACCAAGGGGCTTGTGGTTATTCGAGGTGTAATACCCATATAAAAAGTGAACTGGTTAAATGATATGTTTAAGCAGTTAAGGGGGTGGGGGGGGGGAGCTGCTCTGACCAGAGGGCTTGCTCTGACCAGGCCAGCCCTCCAGTTACCTGGTAAGATGCTGGTAAGGCTAATGCTTGCTGGGTAACCAGGTAACCTTTTACATCCCCAATGGCTATGCTGAATGCAGCCAGCTGCTTTCCTTGAGTGCAAAGGGGTGTGTGTGCAGGGGTTACCTCAAATTATACAGAGCGAGATTTGTGCAGCAGAAATGACCTGGGGCTGGCAGCTACTCCACCTACTTGCCTCTCTTCACAGCATTGTCTCAGGAGCCAGGTGCCGGCTGCTTTCTCAGAAACCTCGGCTCGGGCAGCCTGGATGCACTTCGCCTGCTCTAGCTTGTCATGTCTTCTCATGTTATGGCAGCACCCATACCGGGGGGGACACAATCATACTGGGATATAAAATATATAGAAAGGATAGAGCAGGCCGGGTGGGTGGCGGAGGGGCACTATATGTGAAAGATAATGTAGAATCAAATGAAATAAAAATATTAAGTGAATCAACATGTTCCAAAGAATCGCTATGGATAGAAATTCCATGCTCCAATAATAAGAAATTAGCAGTAGGGATATATTACCGACTACCTGACCAGGACAGCGATACTGACATAGAAATGCTGAGGGAAATTAGAGAGGCTACCAAAATAGAGAACTCTATAATAATGGGGGATTTTAATTACCCCCATATTGACTGGATACATGTCACCTCAGGAAGAGAAGCGGAGATAAAATTTCTCAATGGCTTAAATGACTGCTTCTTGGAGCAGCTAGTGCAGGAACTCACAAGGGGAGAGGCAATTCTCGATTTAGTCCTGAGTGGAGCGCAGGATCAGGTCCAGGATATAACCGTTACAGGACTGCTTGGGAATAGTGACCATAATATACTAACATTCAACATTCCTGTGGCAGGGAGAACACCTCAGCAGTCCAGCACCCTGGCATTTAATTTCAAAAAGGGGAATTACACAAAAATGAGGAGGTTTGTTAAACAGAAATTAAAAGGCACAGTGACTAGAGCCAAATCCCTGAAAGCTGCATGGAAACTTTTTAAAGACACCATAATAAAGGCCCAACTTAAATGTATACCCCAAATTAAAAAACATAGCAAGAGACCTAAAAAAGAGTCACCGTGGCTTAACCACCATGTAAAAGAAGCAGTGAGGGACAAAAAGGTATCTTTCAAGAAGTAGAAGTCCAATCCTAGTGAGATAAATAGAAAGGAACATAAACCCTGTCAAATCAAGTGTAAACATGTAATAAGAAAAGCAAAAAAAGATTTTGAGGAACAGCTAGCCAAAAACTCAAAAAGAAATAACAAAATGTTTTTTAAGTACATTAGAAGCAGGAAGCCTGCTAAAAAGCCTGTGGGTCCCCTAGATGATCGAGCTATAAAAGGAGCAATCAAGGACGATAAAGCCATTGCGGAGAAACTAAATGATTTCTTTGCTTCAGTCTTCACGGCTGAGGATGTTGGGGAGATTCCTGAATCTGCACCGTCCTTTGTGGGTGATGAATCTGAGAAACTGTCCCGGATTGAAGTGTCATTAGAGGAGGTTTTGGAACAAATAGAAAAACTTAATGTTAACAAATCTCCGGGACCGGATGGCATTCATCCAAGGGTTCTAAAAGAACTTAAATGGGAAATTGCTGAGCTATTATCTGTGGTTTGAAACCTATCCTTTAAATCGGCTTCCGTACCTAATGACTGGAAGGGAGCCAACGTGACACCAATATTTAAAAAGGGCTCTAGAGGCGATCCTGGCAATTACAGACCGGTAAGTCTAACTTCAGTACCGGGCAAATTAGTCGAAACAATAGTAAAGAATAAAATTATGAAGCATGTAGAAGAACATAATTTGTTGGACAAAAGTCAACATGGTTTCTGTAAAGGGAAATCCTGTCTTACTAATCTATTAGAGTTCTTTGAAGGGGTTAACAAACATGCGGACAAGGGGGATCCAGTAGATATAGTATACTTGGATTTTCAGAAAGCCTTTGACAAGATCCCTCACCAAAGGCTCTTGTGTAAATTACATGGCCATCGGATAAGAGGGAAGGTCCTTTCTTGGATTGAGAACTGGTTAAAAGACAGGAAACAAAGGGTAGGAATAAATGGTACATTTTCAGATTGGAGAGGGGTAACTAGTGGTGTACCCCAAGGGTCAGTCCTGGGACCAATCCTTTTCAACTTATTCATAAATGATCTGGAGAAAGGGGTAAGCAGTGAGGTAGTAAAGTTTGCAGATGATACCAAACTGTTTAGGATAGTCAAGACAGAAGCAGGCTGTGAGGGACTCCAAGATCTCACCAAACTGAGTGATTGGGCAACAAAATGGCAAATGAAATTTAATGGGGATAAGTGTAAAGTAATGCACATCGGGAAAAATAACCCCAACTATACGTACAGTATGAGGGGGGCTAATTTGGCTACGACAAATCAGGAAAGAGATCTTTGAGTTATCGTGGACAGTTCTCTGAAAACTTCCACACAGAGTGCAGCGGCGGTCAAAAAGGCAAATAGGATGCTAGGAATTATTAGGAAAGGGATAGAAAATAAGACCCAGAATATCTTACTGCCCCTGTATAAAACTATGGTATGCCCACATCTGGAATACTGTGTACAGATGTGGTCTCCTCACCTCAAAAAAGATATTTTGGCCTTGGAACGGGTTCAGAAAAGGGCAACTAAGATGATTAGGGGTTTGGAATGGGTCCCATATGAGGAGAGGCTAAAGCGACTGGGACTTTTCAGTTTAGAAAAGAGGAGACTGAGGGGGGATATGATAGAGGTCTATAAAATCATGAGTGGTGTGGAGAGGGCTGATAAAGAAAAGTTATTTATTAGTTCCCATAATAGAAGAACTAGAGGACACCAAATGAAATTAATGGGTAGCAGGTTTAAAACTAATAAAAGGAAGTTCTTCTTCACACAGCGTGTTGTCAACCTGTGGAACTCCTTGCCAGAGGAGGCGGTGAAGGCTAGGACTATAATAGAGTTTAAAGAGAAGCTGGATAAATTCATGGAGGGTAGGTCCATAAAAGGCTATTAGCCAGGGGATAAAATGGTGTCCTTGGCCTCTGTTTGTCAGAGGCTGGAGAGGGATGGCAGGAGACAAATCACTTGATCATTGTCTTCGGTCAACCCTCTCTGGGGTACCTGGTGCTGGCCACTGTCGGTAGACAGGATACTGGGCTAGATGGACCTTTGGTCTGACCCAGTACGGCCGTTCTTATGTTCTTATGTTCACCCACAGCTGGCTGCAGCTGTCTCCCTGGCCCACGACCTTTGCAGTAGCATTGCACCTGCTTCCACCTGTGCGTGGCCTGGAGCTGGGTCCAGCGAAGCAAGTCTGAGCTTTACTGAGCACAGAGCCCCAGTGCTAGGGGAGGGGCAGATGGGTGGGCAGGCCTTGGCCGGGTCTTACCCCTGTGGGAAGAACAGTGGGTGGGGAGACTCTTGGGAGATCGTTGGGATTCCTGTTTTGAGGAGAGTGGCTGTGCAGTGAGCTCCTGCTTTGGGCGCTGCATGCTCCGTATGAACCCTGCAGGGAGGGCTGCTGTGTCCCAGCATGCCTGTATGGGCGGTTGGGCCTGAAGTGACCACTGGGCAGCTGGTTGCACGTGGGCCTCTGGAGCTCCTAGAGTCACAGAAGCGCAGGGTCAGAAGGGACTGCAAGGCTCCTCCGGTGTAACCACGACGCAGGAGTTACAGTCTGACCCACCCCAGACAGAAGGTTCTAGCCTCATTTGGAAAACCTCCAGTGAAGGAGCTTCCACGCCCTCCCCAGACAGCCTGTGAGCCCCGCTGTGCTTACGGTAGGGTGCTTTAACCTGAATCTGCTCTGCTGTAGTTTGAACCTTTGGCCTCCTCTCCTGCCCTCTGTGCAAGGGAATCACTTTTCCCATGTTTTATGGCAGCCTAGTCAGTATCTGAAGACCACTGTCACGTCTGCCCCTTAATCTCCTCTTTTCCAAACAGCCCATACTCAGTTCCCTCAGCCCTTGCTCGTGTGGCTCGCTTTCCGTCCCTCGAGTCGCTTTTCTCACATACCTGCAGATTCTTTCCAATTGCTCTAGCTCCACTCTACACGTTAGTGACCAAACTGGCACTTGCATTTGGGCTGAGGCCTTGCCAGGGCCGAGTGGAGCAGAGACCATTGCTGCCTCTGATCTGTGCACCAGGCCTTTGCAACAGCATTGCCTTGCTGACTCCACGACTGCCTGCCCCTTCCCCACAGTGCTGCTGCCATGCCCTGCCCCCCAGGCTGTCTTTGTGGGCGTTGGATTTCAGCCTCCCGCCGCAGGCTGTTCCTGTTCATGCCCCACTGTAGCTGGCACAGCCACAGCCCTGCGAGCCGTCCACGGGCCTGCCCTGAGCAGGCAATTTAGTGGAGGGGCTGAGGGCTCTAGGAGCTGGCAGTGGGACGAGCTGAAGGAGGCGGGTCACAGCAGCGCAGAGTTTGAAAGGGGGAAAGCAGCTGATGTAGGGCGCCCACCTGCCAGTTGGAAGGGAGCGACACGATCGCATCCTTGCAATGGTGTTTGGTTGGGGGGCGCAGCCTCTGGCAGCCAGTGCCATGCAGTACCCAGGCCATGGCCTTTGCTGTGTTTAGTGGGGGGCTGTTACAACGTCAGGTCCTCGCCCTAGGAACACTCTCGCTTCTGCCTGGGTGGGGCCGGCCGAGGGACTGGCCCACCTGCTCCTGTGATGGAACAGCTCGGGCTCATGCCTAGAGGAGACAATTCCACCTGGCTGCTTGTGTCCAAGGTGCCCCGCCCTGCAGCACCTGCTTTTCCCCAGCCTGACGGCCAGCAACGCCCGCTACTGCAGAGCCATCACTGCTCCACGGCACGCCCTGGCATCTCAGCTCCCTGTGGGCCTGGCACTGCACGAGCCAATCAGGTGAGGGCGCAAGGACAAGGGGGGAGCTCGACAGGCTGGGAATGGTCAATTGCTGGGAGCGCAGGTGTCATGCGAAATCATTTTATTGTTGAACCATAACATGTGGGAGGCAGCGACCTACCCTGGCTGGGTACCGCCCTGGCTACTCCAGGAGCTCACGAGGCCACGCGAGGAACCCCAGTAAGGCCCTAACTGGAAACCACTTTGCAGACCAAGCTCTGGCTATCTTGCTGCCAGGCCTGGGATTTGCACTCTCCGCAGCACCTGCTCTGGCAGGGCCAGCTCACTCGCCCCTGCGCTGATTCTGGGGAGCCTGGCCCGAGTCCTGTACGGGGGAGATGCTCTCAAGGAAGCCCCACACCCTCCCTTTGGCCCCAGAGCCAGAGTTCTGTGCAGGGAGGTGACTACTTGTCGGCTGTGGTTCCAACACTGTCTGCAGGGCAGGCCCAGAGCTCCCAGCTGGAGTGGCCAGGGAGCAGGGTGATAGTCCCGGGGGCTAGGGCAGTGCCTCTGATCATGGTGCTGCACTGGGGAGCCTGCCACTGGCTGTGTGCACCACTGCAGCAAGCTGCGGGGCTGCATGGAACTCAGGGGACCTCAGATGAACTTGGAACCCATTTCACTCCGGCAGCCTGCTTGGGCGGGGTGCCAGTGGTTCGGTATTGGAGCCTGTGCAGGGACCAGCCCTGATGCTGCCTGTGTCCAGGCCCAGGCCTTTGCACGGAGCCCTGTGGACACCGCTCGCCTCTTGATAGAATGCAATCCCTGGGCCGTGGCTTTGGGGATGCGCTTGCCACACTTAACACCAATGGGAAGTGCCATGTGGGGTAGCAATGGGTCTGCTGGCCGGAGAGGGGCACCTGGGGAGCAGGCTCCTTGGAGACTCCCAACAACTAACACAACTAGACAAATAGCAAGTGAAGGGGGAGACGCCCCATGGACAGCAAGGCCAAGCAGCCCAGCACTTGCCTGACCTTGTCCTTGCTGGCACCTGGGGGGCCTGCAAGCAATGAGCCCAGCAACAGGCTGAGCTGGGAGCACGCAGTGACATGAACTGGGTGTCTCAACACTTGGGCCTGTAGCAGAGAAAGGCCCTGGTCCTTACATTGCCCCCAGGAATTCACTGTCCTCGCCGGAGAAGAGTGAGAGCTCACAGGCGTCCTTCCTCCCCGCAGAGGCGCTGGGTGGCGGGGGAGCCAGCAGAAGGGGAGCCACCGTGGCCTTAGCTTTGCTCTGGTGCTGCAATGCAGGAACACACAGTGAGCACCCGCTGTGGAGGGGAGCGGCTGTGCCCCTTAGCCACAAGCTATTGTGAGCTGCTTGCTGCCCTGTGAGAGCTGAGCAAGGGTCCGGCGGAGCGCCCCAGAAGGTGGGTATGGGCACTCTGGGGACACGTCCCCTGCCTCTTTCCCGATGTGTAACTGGGGGGACTCCTGAACCACCTCCCTCCCAGCAGCAAGCCTGGTCTGCCTGCTCAGCGCTAGCGTCACAGCCAGCGGGCGCGACCTGTACCTGTCTGGAGTGACGGCGCTCTCCTGGGCGATGCTCCTTGGGCTGGGCCTGCTGCCGGCCCGGGGCTCTGGAGAGCCCGCTCCTCAGGTATTTGTAGAGGTGACTGTTCACGTGGAGGGGGTTGTATCTAGGTTCCACGTCCAGACTGTTCAAGGCACTCTGTGCAGAGAAGTGAGAGGCAGGTCCCAGCCGGTGCCATGTAAATGCCCAGCATCCCAGCTTCCCTGCTGAAGCGATAGGAACTCCTTCCAGTCGCCGGGGCAGGGAGGAGCCAAAGCGTCCACCACGGTGACTGATAGAAGCTGTGCAGGCCCTCATCTGGCCAGACTGGGCTAAAAGGAATCGGATGAGGCTCAGCAAGAACGAGTGCAGAATCCTGCACTTAGCACAGAAGACTCCAAAGCCCTGCTACAGGCTGGGACAACCTGGCTAAGTGACAGTTCTGTAGAAAAGGGCCTGGGGTTACTGTAGAGAAGAAGCTGGAGTCACCAATGTGCCCTTGTAGCCAAGGCTAACAGCATAGGGGGGTGCTTTGGGAGGAGCATTGCCTGCAGATCAAGGGAAGCGATTATTCCCCTTTATTCAGCACTGGTGAGGCCACATCTGAAGTATTGTGTCCAGTTCTGGGCCCCCTACTACAAAAAGGATGTGGACAAATTGGAGAAAATCCAGCAAAGGGCAACAAATACGATTTAGGGGCTGGGGCACATGACCTATGAGGAGAGGCAGAGGGATTTGGGTTTGTTTAGCCTGCAGAAGAGAAGAGTGAGGGGGGATTTGATAGCAGCCTTCAACTACCTGAAGGGGGTTCCAAAGAAGATGGAGCCAGGCTGTTCTTGTAAAAACATAAAACCGGCCATACTGGGATTAGATCAAGGTCCATCTAGCCCAGTGTCCTGTCTGCCGACAGTGGCCAATGCCAGGCGCCCTCCAAGGGAATGAACAGAATAGGGAGTCATCAAGTATTAGATCAAGGTCCATCTAGCCCAGTGTCCTGTCTGCCGACAGTGGCCAATGCCAGGCGCCCTCCAAGGGAATGAACAGAATAGGGAGTCATCAAGTGATCCCTCCTCTGTCGCCCATTCCCAGCTTCTGACAAAGGCCAGGGACACCATCGCTACCCATCCTGGCTAATAGCCATTAATGGCCTAACCTCCATGAATTGACCTAGCTCTTTTTTGAACCGTGTTAAGTCCTGGTCTTCACAACATCTTCCTGCAAGGAGTTCCACAGGTTGACTGTGTGTTTTGTGTGAAGTAGTACTTTATTTTGTTTGTTTTAAACCTGCTACCTATTAATTTCATTTGGTGACTGCTACTTCTTATATTATGGGAACAAGTGAATAACTTTTCCTTATTTATTTTTCCACACCAGTCATGATTTTATAGACCTTTATCATATCCCCCTTAGTCCTCTTTTACAAGCTGAAAAGTCCTAGTTTTTAAAATCTCTTTTCATATGGGACCCATTCCAAACCCCTCATCATTTTTGTTGCCCTTCTCTGAACCTTTTCTAATGCCAAGTTATCTTTTTTGAGATAAGGTGACCATATCTGTATGTAGTATTCAAAATGTGGGCATACCCTGGTTTTATATAGAGACAATAAGATATTCTCTGTCTTATTCTCAATCCCTTTTTTAATGACTCCTAACATCGTTTGCTTTTTTGACTGCCGCTGCACATTGGCTGTGTCTACACTTGCAAGTTATTCCGGAAAATCAGCCGCTTTTCCGGAAAAACTTGCTAGCTGTCTACACTGGCTGCTTGAATTTCTGGAAAACCACTGACGAGCTAATGTAAAATCATCAGTGCTTTTCCGGAAAAACTATGCTGCTCCCATTCGGGCAAAAGTCTTTTTCCAGAAAACTGTTCCGGAAAAGGGCCAGTGTAGACAGCACAGTAGTGTTTTCAGCAAAAAAGCCCCAATCGCGAAAATGAGGATTGGGGCTTTTTTGCGGAAAAGCGCGTCTAGATTGGCCACGGACGCTTTTCCGGAAAAAGTGCTTTTCCGGAAAAGCGTCCTGCCAATCTAGATGCGCTTTTCCGGAAATACTTTTAACGGAAAACCTTTTCCATTAAAAGCATTTCCGGAAAATCATGTCAGTGTAGACGTAGCCATTGAGTGAATGTTTTCGGAGAACTAGCTACAATGACTCCAAGATCTCTTTCTTGAGTAGTTGTAGCTAAATTAGTCCCGAACATAATGGCCATACTGGGTCAGACCAACAGTCCATCCAACCCAGTATCCTGTCTGCTGACAGTGGCCAATACCAGATGCCCCAGAGGGAGGGAACACAACAGGTAATCATCATATTGTATGTATAGTTGGAATTCTTCCTTCCAATGTGAATTATTTTACATTTATCAACACTGAATTTTATTGCCATTTTGTTATCTAGTCTACTAGTTTTGTAAGATCCTTCTGAAGCTCTTCCCAGTCCGCTTTGGTCTTAACTATCTTGAGCAGTTTAGTATCATCTGCAAATTTTGCCACTGCACTGTTTACCCCTTTCTCTAGATCATTTATAAATAGGTTGAGTAGGATTGGTTCCACTATGGATCCCTGAGGGATACCACCTGTTCCTTTCCATTCTGAAATCTTACTCTTTATTCCTACCCTTTGTTTCCTGTCTTTTAACCAGGTATCAATCCAGGAGAGGACCTTCCCTCTTATCCCAGGACAATTTATTTTACTTAAGAGCGTTTGGTGAGGGACCTAAAAGGAATGCCTCAGGTTTGGGAAACTCCCTAGTATCCTCAGTCATGAAGACCGAAGCAAAGAATTCAGTTAGTTTCTCTGCCAATGACCTTATCACCCTTGAGTGCTCCTTTAAGTGGTGAAGGATGCAGAACAAGGAGCAATGGTCTCAAGCTGCATGGGGGGAGGTCTAGGTTGGACATTAGGAATAACTATTTCCCGAGCTGGGTGGGGAAGCACTAGACTGGGTTGCCTCCGGAGGTGGAGGACTCTCCACCCTTAGATGTTTTTAAGTCCCGGCTTGACAAAGCCCTGGCTGGAATGGTTTTATTGGTCCTGCTTTGAGCAGCGGGTTGGACTAGATGGTCTCCTGAGGTCTCTTCCAAGCCTGATTTTGTGTGATTCTATGATTCTCCATTGGCTAGAAAAACTGCTGCTCAGTCAGGCTGCCTTTGGAAATCTTGCTGAGGGCCCTGGATGTTCCTAGCTGCAACTAATCAAAACATTTCACAACCCTTCGCTCCTTTATTCACCTGCCAGGCCCCCCCAGGCAGGGGCTGGCTTTCCCTAGCTATCCCTTCGCACAAACTCTTTGGGGTGGAGGAGGAAGAGTGATGGGGAGAATCCTAGAACTGGAAGGGACCTTAGGTCATCAAGTCCAGTCCCCTGCCCTCATGGCAGGACCAAGCACAGTCTAGCTCATTCTGCTCTTCTATGTCTCCAGTGATGGAGACTCCACAACCTCCCTAGGCAGGATGCTTTACCACCAGACAGGCAGGAAGTTTTTCCTAATGTCCAACCTCAACCTCCCTTGCTGCCGTTTAAGCCCATTGCTTCTTGTCCTGTCCTCAGAGGCCAAGATGAACAAGTTTTCTCCCTCCTCCTTGTGACACCCTTTTAGACACTTGAAAACTGCTATCATGTCCCCCCTCAGTCTTCTCTTTTCCAAACCAAACAAGCCCAGTTCTTTCAGTTTTCCCTGATAGCTCATGTTCTCTAGACCTTTCATAATTTTTGTGGCTCTTCACTGGGCCTTCTCCAATTTCTCCACCTCTTTCTTGAAATGCAGTGCCCAGAACTGGACACAATACTCCAACTGAGGCCTAACCAGCGCCTAAGAATGGCTTACTTGTGTTACACCTATTCAGTCAATAAGCCTGCCACTGAATGCAAGTGAGAGGGTGTGAGGACCTTGTACTCCCAGCCAATGGAGATATTGCTGTTTTGCACACAGGGAATCATAGAATCAGAACACTAGGACTGGCAGGGCCCTCGAGAGGTCATTGAGTCCAGTCTCCTGCCCCCATGGCAGGACCCAGCACTGTCTAGACCAGTGGTCTCCAACCTTTTTACACCCAAGATCACTTTTTAAATGACAGATGAAGCAAAGATCTACCGCCCCGCCCCTTCCTTGAAGCCCCGCCCTCTCTATTCTCCTCCTCTCCATCACTTGCTATCCCCAATCCTTATACTGCTGCTTATTTTTTATTCTTCTGTAGGAAGAGGTTTTTCCAACATTTGCCCTGTCTACCCTGGACCAAATGTCAGAAAAAAACCCCTTCTTTTGGAAGCCACCTTATTCCTTGTGGAAAGAGGAATATAGGGGTGACCAAAAGAGCCTGTTTGCTCTTCCACTAAAAAAGCGGAAGAACAAACGCAACCCTGGATGCAGAAGAGTTTTTCTGGGATATCTCCAGAATCCTGAAAAACTCCTGCAGTCTAGCTGGACCCTTGCTGTGTTGAGACAGGATGTGTACGCAACTCTGGATGCAGAAGAGTTTTTCTGGGATATCTCCAGAATCCTGAAAAACTCCTGCAGTCTAGCTGGACCCCCGCTGGGTTGAGACAGGATGTGTAGGCTCTGGGGTGGGAATGAGGGATTTGGGTGTGGGAAGGGGTGAGAGGTGCAAGCTCTGGGAGGAAATCTGGATGCAGGAGGAGGTGGAGAAGGGGAC